TATGGCTTTACTCATGTCAGGGTTTTAAATATGAGTGTGCTGGGATTCTTCTACAGTAGGTCTCTATGATTTGTTGGCTAAACATTTGAACAATAAACAGACAGCACATAAGCCACTTATTTTAAAATAATATACATTCAAAATAAGTCAAACGTATGTATAAAAATTATTTTCATTATAGGAACTCACATGCCATGTAACTCGAACCTCAAGAAGTGTCTCCAATTATCCTAAAGTAATTTTGGCTATTTTTGACAATTAAATAGAACAAGTAGGCACTTCTTAAAGGCAAAAAAAGCTTATTTATTTTGTATTTAATAACAATTGAACCTTTTTCTTCTCCCTCAAATAAAAAATTTTGGAAATGCTACTGCAGAACATTACTGTGATAAGTTTTGTGTGATCTAAAATGGGTTTCATCACTGACAGATTTCTAGTGGAATCAGCAAAACATTCTGATTTTTGTTTGTCATTAAGTACAAAGCTACACAATAGGCTTTCTATGATCTGTCCACTACAGGTCTTGAAACTGAAATTTTAGCATTATAAGCCTTCAGACTTACCACTGAGTCACCAGAGGGCAAACATTTTAATTATTTAATTTTACTAGATTAATAAAACTTAAGCAACCTAAAGTACTAGCTGTTTCTTGTAAACTTAACCACTCTTTCAAATATAGTATAAAATTCATGTGACTTAGGTGTAATATATATATCAATATCATTAAGTTCAACAGTTTTAGAAGGCAATAAGATATTGCTAATTTTAATAATATTATTAGCACTAATGATGATTACCTATGTATTGAATATTTTAGAACTGTTCGTTAGCTAGAATACTAATTATACTAATTTCTTTCATGTTTTAACAGTTACATTTCTGGCAAACCTATGAATGTCTTGTTCATCCAGAGAAAGTTTACTGCCCTGGTAAGGGAAATTTTTTTTTATTTCTAAATTATCTTTGCTTTAAAATATTTCTGTATTAATTTTACCAGCATCAGTATTCATTATCAACTGATTAACAAAATTAATAAATACATGCTTCTTTGAATGTATGATCATGACCATCAGTTTTAGAATAACAATGGTTGATATTCTTTGATGGATTGTTTAGGCAGTGTATTCATATTGAGTTGACTGTGAAATGGGTGGCAACTGCCTGTTTAAGAAACATTTGTTAAAATATATTGGTGACTATACAATCCACTTGTGCAGCTGAAGTATACAAGACAATATTTCATAGTCTTCTGCCTTTCATCTTCAGGTTACTGTTTTATACCTTTATTACAATAGCTGTTAATGAACTGCATAAGCACACATATAGCCAATAAAGTTACACAGCTATTCAGTTAAAAATTTGAATAACAAAAGAGAAAATTTAGATGAGTGACAAATTATTAATATCAAAAAGACCATTTTATGCTGTGCATTTCAAATCCATTTTTTTTTTATACATAATTGATCTTAAGGGTAATTCTTCCTTTCATGTTCTTATATTATAACTGCATTAAAAGTGGAAATGCAAGGTCAGTATTATGTAACACCTTAGGATCCACCAAAAATGATGGTTCTTCTTCATATCGTAATTCCAAATGTTGTCTCTTAATATTTTAGGAAATTTGACTGAGTGCATCACATATTTTACAATATTTATATAAATCTAATTGCAGTTGTTACAAATATTGAAGCATACAGTGTTAATTTCAAATTTATAAGGTAAAGTTAACTGTCCATACCATTTCCCTGCTATCATTGAAATGTTAAAATTAATGAATATTTTTCTATATTTATACAGGATTGTTTTTAAAACTGGAATATGTTTGTAACTATAACACTGTTATAAACAAAAATAATTTGATATTACATTTTTTTTGCCTCAGTTTAATGCAATTCAGACCATAAATATATTTAAAAAAAGGATTTAGTGTTCGCTTTACAGAACTATTGCATACAAGTTCAATGAGGGAATAATTTTATTGTGTAGGTCACTGGTTTAGGCTTCATTTGAAGTATTTTGTTCCTGTGCTCAGTCTTGGACTACATACCTTATGAAGGACATTGAATTGTTGGAAACTGTTCAGAGGAGGGTACTAGGATGATACCTAAGGGGAAAGTTGTTGTATGAAAATAGGTTAAGGTCTCAGAAATTATTTTTTGCTCTTGACAAAAAAAGGACAAAAGTTAGTGATATCTGATTAAGGTGTTCAAGATTATTAAGGAAATTCATAGTACTGATGCATCTTTGTTTTGTATTTAATTATGAGAATGGTTGGGCAAAAATATACAAAGATAAATTTGTCAAAGTAGGGGTCACCTTCAGCTTACACAGTTTTACTTTTGTAACAGGTGTTTGAAATGGGTTCCTTCATATGTGGTGAATGCAGTAAATTTACTGGAGTTTAAGAGAAAACATGATGAATATTTAAATAATATGGGCTGGATTTCAGTTTTTTTTCTTTAAAGTTTAGAGTAGTGGATGGGACAGCTTTAATGGACCAGCAGAACTCATGTTGTTATTAAGTGTTCTTTCATGTTATATGATCAGAAGGATTCCTTATTTTGCAAAGATTTGTGAAAAGTAACATTGGGATCAGACAATTTAAGAGATAAAAATCCAGAAGTAAAATTATGAAACTAGTTCAATAAAAGATAGGACAAAGTCCAAGAAACAGTTAACCACAAAATAATTCTAAGTTGAGATAGCTGGCTACAAATTATATTTTGATTTCAGTTCCCATAATTATTTTTTATGATTTCTTCAGATGATGCTAAACAGAATAAAAATAAAACCTACAATAGGGGGTGGGAAACTTGTAATGCAGTTTAATATTTAAAGGTATGGGAAACACTGATCAGCTCATCATGCAATGTTAGGTTGAATAAATTGAATCAACTAAATAAAAACAAAATTAAAATTTCAAGATGATGAAGCAAAAATAAGTAAGCCAACATAACACAAAATGGAATTAAAAGTGAACAAAGTTTATCAAAATCATTGTTAGGTTTTTATATATATATATAGGGCCAGATTCTTTATAGTAGGTATCTGTGACTTGTTGGTGATACATTTCTAACAACAAACAAACAGCACACAGTCCACTTGTTTTAAAATAATATATTAAAACAAGTCAGACATATGTACAAATGTTCATTACACACTAAATCACAACAGTTGTGTCCAGAGCTTTAAATAATAATTTCTTCTCGTCAAAGTCTACATAGGCTGGTTTAGTTACTTTAGAACACAATTTGACAAGATGAATTATTCTCCTCTGCTCTGTTGTTACAACACAATTGGTAATAATTTCACTTATGTTACATTTGATCAAATGTCCACACATTTGTTCAATTACTTTGTAACATAATTGACAAGATAAATTAGTGTTTGAGATGTAAGTCAAGAATGGCCCTTAAATTAAAAAAAGGTTTATTGTTTAGGATCAGTCATAGAAAGAGCATTAGCATTATTATTGAAGTGTAGGAATTTGTAAATCAATAGAAATTTTTCCTAGAAAATACAGAAGAATACCAAGGAATGTGAAAAAGGTGGAAAAGTAGACTGGTATTCTTTGATTTCAGGCTCAGGAGATAAACACATAGCAATGACCATACCATTAATATGCCAAAAGTAATATCTGCTTATGGCAAAACTTTTTGTTCCAATTTCTGTATGAAGTGTTCCTTTTTGCAACATGTAAACTATCAGAATTTAAGAATATATATTTGTCTTTTTGCCAATTGTCAAAATAAAAGCTTTAGTTATATTTTTTAATAATATAAATATGTATTATGTTGTTGTTGGGCTTAGGATTATTCTACAGTAGGTGTTTGAGACGTTTTAGCAATAAATTCAAAGATAAATAAACAGCACGCACTTCACTTGTTTTCAAAAGAATATATATATATTCAGAACAAGTTAAATATATGTACAACAAATTCTTTAATACTATAGATATTATAGGCATATCATCAAAACTATATATGTAGTTCTTTCCTTGTCAAAAGTCCACTTAGGCCTATTCAATTACTTTAGCATTTCAGTTGACATGCCGAACTATCTTCTCTTTTAGTATTATTATCGCACTAGTATTCTGTGTGTGATTCACTTACAGTTGTAGTGCAAGTTACCATAATCATTTGGTCTTCATCTGAAAATCCTCTGTTTCTTTTGTCAACGTGCACTCAGGCTGATTCAGTTACTTTAGAATTTCTCTTTGACAGAATAAATCATTTTTCTTATTTCGTTTCTACTTTTAGACTTACTCTAACATATTAAACATTAGGCCTATCACTTATACGGTACTTAACCTATTCTTCTGCTATTATCTATCTGCTGCTTCATATATACCTATTGTGGCAGTAATTTTGGTTTTAAATCTCAAAGAAACCCCAGAGGGACTTTGGAGACAATCAGGGGCACTCAGAAACTGTGGGTAATAACTGATTGAATATAATAAGTGGTGTCAGGGATGTTGGCTGGTGATATATACAGTGCCAGAATGGCAATAGTGGTGTTGTTTGAACAGTATAGGTGGCATAAAATGTTTTCATTAGTACAAGGAGTGTTAATTTCAGGAAATGTAATGTTGAGATGTTCTTTGATAAGAAGAGCTATACCTCTTTTGTCTAGGGAAGCGTGTTTGGGAACTATTTTGTAGTGGGAAATTTTAAATTCAGATGTTTCATTTAATAATGGTTGGTTGATGCTAATTATATCAACTTTTATTGTATTTGCAAGTTGTAGTAGTTCATATTTTTGTGATGAAGACCTCCCTGAATATTGACATGCAGGAAATAAACCATTGTCTATTTCTAAGAATACCTGATGGATTAAAATTCTTACCTGGCTAGACACACGCCTGCTTTTCTTCTTTTGATAAATGTCATCAAAAGGAGGGGTCGAAGGTGTCCATGTCAAAATAGTAGGCTGCTGCTATCCCAATCTGTGTAGCTAGGACCAGAATATTACCCGGGTCAGCGGAGTGGCATATCAGCATGATGTCGCTGATGAAACACGTTAGTCGTGATACAAATTCTTCACTGTTGGCTGTGATACAGGTTTGCAGCATGGCTGGAGGGGCTGGCCTTACTGTCTTTGAGGAGGATTTGGTCATTGCTGGTGGTCTAGTAATGTTCTTGATTGGGGTCAGGGTAGTGGGTAGTCTATCGCTAACCACAGGCTGATTACATCTTGATAGTGCCTTGGATGTCTCCTGTGTGTTGTTCAGTAGAGAGGTATCTGTTTGGGAAGAAAGAGAGCCATCCTTTTTTTTTCTTTCAGACACTTGAATATACTTAGGACAGCTTCGTTATGAGGCAACATGGGGTCCTCTGCAGTTTGCACAGTTGGTTGCTTGTCTTTTATTAGGGCAGTCGGATACGGTGTGAAGATGACCACATCAAACGCAGCGGGTGGCAGCAGTACAGACAGAATGTGAATGCCCAAACCACTGACAGTTAAAGCACTGTAAAGTCCTGGTCACCCCTCCAAGAAGTATGAATTTTAAAGAAAATTACTCATTATAATGTTGTAATCGTTTAGGCAAAGCATAATTTTCATAGCCTTCAATATTATTTGGTTACAGAGTTATCAAATAGAAAATTAGACCCCTCTCACGTTGTCTCTTTCAGAAATTGCAAATAGTTCTCTGTGATGTTCAATACTATATTACTTATAACCATTAGAAATCCAAGGTTTTTTTATCTATCAAATGACATATGATATTACATTGTTTTGTGTATAGAAAAGTATCAATTTTGCTTTCGGTTCAAGCTTTATACCCCTGGGAAAATACATCGACACGTTCACTGAATTTGTAACGACTCTTGTTGCATAGTTAGAAAGCCAGAAGAATTGTGGAAGAAATGAGACAGCATGGGGTCCTCTGCAGTTCACACGGTTGGTTGATTGTCTTTTATTAAGGCAGTCAGATGTGGCATGAAGATGACCACATCAGACGCAGAGGGTGGCAGCAGTACAGGCAGAACATGAATGCCCAAACCACTGACAGTTAAAGCATTATAAAGTCCTAGTCACTGTGAAACAGGTGGCTTCCACAATATGGTGTTGGTACTATAAACAAACCCCATCGGCTATCAGCTGGTTGGCTTTCTTTGAATCTGAAAGAAAAAATCTTACCATAGGGATTGCTTGCTTAATCCTAGCGCATATGATCCTCTCAATGTGGGTCATGTTGATGCCTTGGGCTAGTAGTTCTTCTTTAACCTCAGTCTGCTCGATGTCCGTTGGGACGTTCTTGATAACAAAAGGCTTTGTCAGTAGAGATTCACCAGTGCCATGAGTGGGGATCTTGGCTCCCTGGAATGCTGTACCCGGCCAGGTCTTGAGGATAGTGGCATAGCTTTGGGGAGCCTTGCACTTGATACATACACCACTTCTTGTTAGAGACTTGTAAATCTGGAAAGAGACAGTTAATTTCTCTAGCAATATCAGGTTATCTGCTGCTTCCTGCTCATCTCACGCAACTTACGTCTTTACCACCTATTCGTCTGTCCAATTTCTTAATTCTCAACATCAATGTATTGCATGCAACATTTAATAGTCTCAATATCAATGAATTATTAACAAAAGCTCCAACAATCATCTGCTTTTAACTCTTATTATAACAAAAACTAAACAATAATAAAATATTCACTCACAAAAATAAATTAACCAATAATATCTAAACTAAACAGTCTTTTATATCATGACACAAACATCTTGGTTTCATCCAGACTAAGTAGGATATTGAAAAAGCTTACAGTAATCCATACTATTTCTACAGTCACTGGCCTGCAAATATTTGGCTGTCCTTTTTCAAAATGTGGAGGATTTATTTATTTTTCATTTGTTTGGATCTCCCAGAACCAGATGTTGTTGCAAACCATAGTCACTTCCTGGATTGTTGTTCTACACCCACTGCTTCTAGTCTGATCCTTGTGTGTTTCAGTTTCAGAACCATCTGACAACTACAGTTCATCATCATAGGACTCTACACCTTATGGGAATTGCACTTCTTCATCTATTAGTTTTCTCTTATATTTCTGATTTTGAAAAAAATAATATAATCACATAAAATACAAATATTAACTAGTATTAGACTGTAGTATAAATACTTTTGACTGAGTGCTAACAAAATACATTGGAAGTGAAATTCAAATAATGAAAATTTGAACACTGCTTTCAATATGTATCACATTAGAAAAAAACAAACAAATCTTCTGTACTACATTCAGTAACCAATCAGTTCATCATAAACAGTCATCTCAGTCCTGAAATCTTTTTTATATTGTTCTTTAACATTTGTTTTTCTTCCAAAGGTTAGTGTAATTGTGTCTCCTTCTTTAAGCTGTCACATGAAACAGATATTTCCACATCATGTGCCCTTTTCCATTGGTCAGCTGCAAGGATAATATACTATGAAGCACTTTTGGGGAAAGATTCAGTTTAACTTTTGAAGGTTACAGTTTTTTTTATCATTGTTGATCATGCACATTTTATTTTAATTTCAAGTTCATTCAGTTTAGTCTTCTCAGCTTGGAAACCATGTAATACAATTTTACCTGAAATAAGCAATGTGTAATTGTGTTCATGAAATTTGTTTCTTCTCTTCTGCACTTGTTGTCACTTTGACATTTCCTCTTGCCAAAAATTCAAATCTTTTGTTATGCGAAGATAATTTACCTGTATGCCATAAATATACTAAACCAGGAAACCACAGTGTATCATGAGCATGAGCACACTAAATATGTAACTAGCACAAACTGCATCATGCAAGTTATGTAGCTCAAGCCATTGTCAAGAGCAGTTGTCTGTAACTAAGCTGTTACTACCTATGAGGAACCCTTCAAAGATTTGTAGTACCTCTGTTATTATTGTAACAGCCTTAATGTAGTTAAAGATGGAAATTATTTAAAGTTTCTGTTCAAATACCAAGAATGTCCTGGATTACTTTACCAAGTACTTCAAATATAACCTGATTCAGACAGGGGCCAGCTATTCCAAAAGCTAGGAAAGTAATTTGCTTGAAGAATCAATAACTGATAGAAAGTAACATTCATTGCTTTCTGAACTATCAAGTAATGTTTGCTGAATAATCTATGCACAACATTGTGTAATTCCCATTTGATTGTCAAACAGTTAGGATTGTGGGTTGTTTCATACATTGATGTAAAAATAGGAAATAATATTACTGATGAACTAAAAGTGTCCACAGGTACAAAAACTTGACTTAAAATAAATATCAGGTGCTGTACCATTCAAGACAAACTCAATGTGGCCATGCTAAAATTACTGAACATGTACCATTAGCTTCACTAATGATAGTAAGAACCAAAATAAATACAACATGAGTTGGCAATAAAGTCATTTCAAAACTTACAAATATTTTTGAGATATCGCCAATGCATAACTTAGAATAACAAAGTTGTTCATCAGAGAGGAAAAAATGTACATCCTCTAAATTTTTTCTATTTTGTAAAAGCCAATTCACAATAAAACAGGGACATAAACACTAATAAAACTGAAAAAATATGCATTTGTAAATATCTATTGACATTAAATTGTTTGAAGAAAATAAAACTAGGTAATATATGTTCTATAAGTAACTATTGAAGTTGTTTGAAGTTAAGAAGGTATCCAAGAATAAGGGTAATTACACTAACCTTTGGAAGAAAAACAAATGTTAAAGAACAATATAAAAAAGATTTCAGGACTGAGATGACTGTTTATGATGAACTGATTGGTTACTGAATGTATAACAGAAGATTTGTTTGTTTTTTTCTAATGTGATACATATTGAAAGCAGTGTTCAAGTTTTCCTTATTTGAATTTTACTTCCAATGTATTTTGTTTGCACTCAGTCAAAAGTATTTATAATACAGTCTAATATTAGTTAATATTTGTATTATATGTGATTATATTATTATTGTCTTTATTCTGTTTCTTCTGGCATCTGTGGTGATATCACTCTTTTCTTGTTTCTTGCCAGCACCATATTTGTAACAAGCATAGCATCTCTTCTCCTTTTTGTCTATTTTCTCTGTTAACCTCTTTTCACCTTTGATGGCATCCTGCTTCTGGTCAACCATCCCTGGTTTCAACTTTAACTGGTTATTTCTAGACTTGTGAGTTATATTCTTTCCATGGGCTTCCATATACTGTTCTGACAGGTTGATCATCTTGTTTACGTCTTTCATTGCTCTCTCCTTTAGGAACAGTGACATATCAGTATACCACATGATCATGAACTATTCATGTATTAGTAGATCTGCCAGTCTTTCAAAACTATCTTCACACTTGGCCATGTCAGTCCATCTTGTGAAGTATCACCATTGATGTGCCACAAACTGAAATACAGTTTCTTCATTGTCAGGTTTGACTTCTCTAAGCTTCTGACAAGAATCTTCTTCAGTTAGTTCATAGCATCTCAGGAAGACTATTTTAAACTTGTCATAGTCCATGACATCTTCTAATGTCATGCCAGCATACACTAGTAGGCCTTTTCCTGTGAGGAGGGGGCTGAGACAGACTGTCCAGTTGCCTTTGTCTCAGATCTGACTTTTAGTAAATCTTTCATACATATCCAGGAAAGTATCCATGTAGTATTTATGTCTATCAAATGTGGGCAGCTTAGGTTGGCTGGCCCTGACTCCAGTGTCATTCTATGGTCCTTCATCTTTCTGTTGGGTGACTGACAATCTCAATTTGTGCTCTTATTCTCTCTCTGTTTCCTCTCCCTTCTTTTCTTCTTTCTGAATTTGTGCTGTTCTTCTACTTCCTTTCTTCTATGCCTTTCTTCTTCTCATCGCTGTTGCCACTCTTCTCTCTCTAGGTCATGTTGTTGTTTAACAAACTCTCGTAGATCAGCATTTTTGAGCCCAAGTTGCTCGCCCCTTTCTATTTGCTTATGAAAGTCAGTTGATATGGTGGTATAGAGTGTTTGTAATCTCTACAGTCTTTTCACACTCATTATAGCTGTGCATATATTGGCCTTTTCTGCTGTCATTCACGTCTTCTTCTACTGTTGTTTGCCACTGTATAATCCTTGGTGGCTCACCAAATGTCAGGTTTTAGGTATGGTCGGGCCAGATTCTTTACAGTAAGTATCTCTGACCTGTTGGTGATAAATTTGAACAATAAACAAACAGCACACAGTCTACTTGTTTTACAATAATATATATTAAAATAAGTCAAATGTATCAGGTCATCCAGAAATGAATGTCACGTTTTGGAAAACTTTCATTAAACCCCCCCCCCCC